GGCTCGTCCGACAATTTTGACCGTAGTGCACTGCTTTTCCGCATTTGTGGCACTGTATAATTTTATTTTGAAGCGGTCCACTTCTATTTTGATTATTAAATGGCGTTTTTAAGGAAGGGCCTTTAATTTTTTCTTTCGCGCTCGTGGCGTTAATAGCCTCTTGCAGAGTAGCATATTTTTGCGATCGGACTATCATTTTGATGTCCTCGCGCAATCCTAATTCGAAGTTTAATAGTGCTTGATCCTGAATTGTCTCTAGGATCGCTCGTTTCTGTTCGTTTGTAGGATTTCTTTTTTCTATTAACGATTCATATAATTCCATCGCTAATTGATCTACGCGTCGTCCGTATGTGTGCGCGCTTTCACTCGTTTTTTGTTTTAAGGCGTTAAACTCTAATTGGAGATGCGATGTTCCGCGTCTTCCCAAATAGTTTATCTCTATTTCTCGCCGTAATTGTTCAAAATCTTGTATACTTCTGGTTTGAAAATCCAGTAAGAGTTTTCCTTTTAATTTTGTATTTAGTATTTCCTCAAGCAAGGCTGAACGTTCCGCGAGGTCAATTTTTTCCATCGCGTAAGTACTGGCGCTTATAAATTCCTGCGTCTTATGACGTTGAGATCCGTCGACTTCGGGTATCAGTCTACGAGCGTCCTTCAAATGTAGATATCCCGTCGGCCGGTTTATCAATTCTCTTACGTCGTTTTGCGTTCTTCCGTACGTGGCGTTTAACGATTCTGGCCTGTCGATAGGTCCGGTGAGTCGAAAATTTTCGCGCACGTTACTATTTATTTCCATTCTGTCCATCCTATCTTGTAGTCCGTTAATTACTACTATTAAACGGTCCAGAATTTCGTCCTGCCTATTTCTTATTGGCGGTTCGACAGTTCCTCTTAAACATCCTATTTCCGCGTCTATTTCCGCGTTGGCTATCGGGGGGTTATTCCCGGCGTTAACGTCTCCACGCTGCGTCTGAGGCGGATGCGTTGCCATTACGCTAGGGGCGGAATTAGCTAGAGTGGGTACGAATAAATCGCTTTCAAA